CGAGCGTTGTTTTTAAAAAATAAAATTAAAAAAAATGAAAAAATTGTCCTTTTCTATTATTTTTATATATATATATATATATATATATATATATATATATATATATATATATATATTATAATTATAACATTATATCTACTGTTATATCGAGCCTTGTTTTTTTAAAAATAAAATTAAAAATTAAATAATTGTCCTTTTCTATTATTTTAATATACATATATATATATATATATATATGTGTGTGTGTGTGTATGTGTGTGTGTGTGTGTGTAACTTGTATGTATGTATGTATATGTATATTGCCGACACAGGAAAGGAATTGACAAATCTTGTTCAACACTCGGCTGGCAGTTTTATGCTCACTTACTTTCGGAAAAAATCTATGTCTTCTTTTCCATTGGAGAATCTGGTGAGAAATAACCCATTTCAGTTTTATCACAACGGTTTCCGGATTATAAAATGGATGAATATTAGCCTGTGTAAATCACTTTCTTATAAGTGTCTTAATTTGCTTGGTTGAGAGAAAACTGTTGCGTCTCGTTAATCATGACAAAGTCGAACCAAGTACGTTTTACAGTATGCATAAAAATGAAATGATGGAATCATAGAAATGCAGTACGCTCGCAATCCTCTTCTATACGAGATACATGAAGCTCATTTCAATTGTTCGGTGTGCTTTGCTAAACGATGAAATGAAGAATTCTTTAGCTATAAAGATATTCAAATAGTTTTGTTGCTTTTTTTTTTCCTTTTTCTCCCTCTCCTTCTACTTCTACTTCTTATTATTCAACTTTGTGACCTGTCACATCAAGATTTGCGCAGTTATAGCTATCCATGGCCGCCTCATATATGTAGCCTTAGTAAAGTTGTTGTTTTTGGTATCGCTCTCTTTTAAACTAGTTATAACCTTCCCAGCTAAGGCCAACTATGCTACGGACATTACAGCGAAACACCTTCATTCCCTTGACATTCTATTTACACAAAATCTCTACCAAAGTTATTTGGTCTTTCGTCTGACCATTACGTCACCAAACCACCTTTCCTCATTTTGTAACCTAGAAATGTTAATTTAAGATTAGAAAAATCTGTCCTTTTTGTTCTTATTTGCCTCAAAGTTCATAATATTCACAGCATCCCTCTATAGAACCACTTTTTTTATTTTCTGGTGTCTTTTCCTTCATATCTAGGAGGTTGTACAGCATTCACTAGTATATTACAGTTAAAGAACTCATTTCCTATATCTAAATAAAATAGAGAAAAACTAAACAATAAAAAACGATTAATTTCTAATACAATATATTAATTAATGATGAAAGCAATGGGCTAAACGTCAGACAATATTCTTTTCAGTACAACCATTGTTTTAAATTTACTTTCTATATTTCAATTTTTTCCTCTCTCTCTCTCTCTCTCCCCCTCTCTCTCCCTCTCTCTCTCCCCCCTCTCTCTCTCCCCCTCTCTCTCATTCCCTCGTTTCTTCTTCGCTTTCTTTTTTATATTTTTTTGTATAAATTTTTCCTCACTTTTTATTAGGCTACTTTTATTAGGTTATTTTTATTAGGCCATTGTAATAATATTTTCGCCCTGTCAATCTCATTCTATATCTTCATTTTATTTCATTTCTTTCGTTTGGCTTCATTTTCACATATGTGTGCATACATATATATATATATATATATATATATATATATATATATATGTATGTATATAACAATTGAGTTTCAAATTCTCAAAGATTCCTTTCCTCATTTATAACCTAGAAATTATATATATATATATATATATATATATATATATATATATATATATATATATTCCATTTACTTTTAACTTCAGTAATTTCATTTTTGATTACATCTTTACCTTTTCAACTTTTTCTGTCGTCTTTTCCCGATTTTTTTAACACAATATTTTCCTTATTCCTTCTTTTACTCTCTCTCTCTCCCACTCTCTCTCGCTCTCTCTCTCTCACAGACACACACACACACACACACACACACACACACATTCCTTCCTTTTTAGTTTATCTTGTTTTCATTTCTCCTCCGTTTGTTTACGATCTGCCGTCTTCCAATTTGCGTAGTTCAGTTTCCGCTTTTTTCTTTAGGATATTATTTAAAAGTGTTTTTTCTCTCGTCGCTTTCTTACTCCCTTTCTATCTCTCTCTGTCTGTTTCTCTCTCTGTCTCTCTGTATCTCTGTCTCTCTCATGATTTTCGTTTATTTTCTGTTTACCTTCTGTTCATATTTCCTTTCCTTCAATTATATTTTTTCCATTCCCAACTTTATGTATCATTTTATTTATATTCTCTGTATTTCAATCTATTTCGTTTCTGTTCTTTTTTACTTCATTTTTCTTCATTTGATTACATATTCCCTTTACATGCTTTTGCATTCGTTCCTTACGAGTTTTTTTTTTTTTTTTTTCGGGATACCCTTTATTTACTTTTCCTTATTTCCATATCTTTCTCGTTCTTTTCTCTTTTTCTATACTTTCTTTTGTATTTTCGTATTATTTGACTCTGAATATCCTATTCAATGCCCTTAATTTTATGCTTTCTCATCTTTCTATTCATAAAAAAACGAATGGTATCTGCTTTTTCAGGAATCGACGTTAATTTGGTACCGATTAAACGAAACCAAAAAAAAAAAAAAGATGTTACAAGTAGAAAGAAGCTTGCCTTCGCATCCATTCGAAGATTTTCAGTAGATTTTGTTGTTTTCATAGTTCCCATCTTCATGCTATACAGCCATTTGTAATTGCCTACATATTATCACAGCTGTTGAAAATCGGCACTAAATACACGCATTAATAGAAACGAAATGATATGCAGTTTAATATTTTTTTTCAATTTAGTTGCCAGTCCTTTTAAATAGAGAAAGAGACAACAATATCAGAAAGAAAAAAAAGAAAGCGGAATATGTAATTCATTTTTTTAGAATATAATAAGGTCTTTTGTAGTAAAACATTTATTTGTTTCTCATTTAAAAAAATTCCACCTATAGTTATCGTCCGTTTAACCATTATCATTGTTCTAAGTAGTAGTGAAAATCTAGGATAATTTAATGAATAGTTCATTTTATATATTATGAACTCATAAATAATTACATTAGTCACGCTATCTACACGCTATTTAGACGGCTTAAACGTTACACCTATCCAACCATATCTCCATTAGGACTCATTTAAACACAGAAAAAACTTAACAGACTCTATCCGAAATATACGAGTAGAAAATACAATTATAATAACCTCATCCACATGTATAAAAATATTAAAAATAAGGGAAGACCTAATAATAAAAAAGGGAATAGTCAACACTCAGTAACATTAACTATGAAGTCGGCCACAATGTGTTGGATGGATTCGGAAAATAAAAGACTCCTGTAACATTAGACATATAGATAAATAAAAACATATCTACTTAAAAATGAAAAATAAAAATAACATTGACCCTTGAATATGGATAAAAAATAAAAAAAAAACATCTGGTCAATTTTTACAGACTTTGTGTCCAGAAACGAAAACATTTGTACGAACACACACACATATATACATACACAAACAAACACACACATATATGTGTGTGTGTTTTCTCTCTCTCTCTCTCTCTCTCTCTCTCTCTCCACACACACACACCCACACACACACACACACACACACACACACACACATATATATATGGGTAAAATAGTAGGACAGACTGGGTTCTATAGCCTTGGATGGCAACTGGTCTAGGAGAAGGACAACTCTGAATTCAAAACCTGCAGAGGGTCGTTGGGGAACCTTGTGGCATTCGGTGCACCAGGTCTCTGTATTCGTCCCTTAAAAAAATGTGGATGGTTCTGCACGAGGGGCCTTCACCACTATAATCAAATCTCATGTGCCGGTGTCGGGCTGTCGGTTTCCTGAAACTGATCTGCTTGACCCTCATACGTCGAATCTCGACAGGAGAGTCGATTATATATATATATATATATATATATATATATATATATATATGTGTGTGTGTGTGTGTGTGTGTGTGTGTGTGTAAAAATATCAGGGCAGGCTGCGTGGTATAGCCTAGAGAGGATTAGTGTTAGTCAAGTTATCTTGTACAAGACACACTACATCTACACTACATCATTTGCGGCTGCAATGAATGTTATAACCTACAATTCTAACAAAGAACGGGACACGAGATCGTGATATATATGATATATATATATATATATATATATATATATATATATATATATATATATATACTGTATATTTACACGTATAAATCAACCTTTAGGTAAGACGAGGGAAAAATACTGACAATTTTCAAGAATTTATCCTCTAGCTACAGTATAAGTGACTGCTTATTGATTATATAAAGATGATGTTCTTTTATATGCTGTTAATTACTGTATCGTTGGATTAAAAATAAACGAAAGAACAAATAAGTTTCTATATTATGTTTTGTTTTTTCTGCAAGCACGCCACAAAGAGGAAACAATTGCTTTGTTTACGTTTCATCGCATGAACTCTTGTGAATACTGATCCTTCATTACCACCTTCTTCTTCTTCTTCTTCTTCTTCTTCTTCTTCTTCTTCTTCTTCTTCTATATCTAAAGAGTTACTAACAACCTGGTGTACGAATGGCCATTTACTTATACTTCATCAGCAATCACAAAATACACCTGATAACGTACGAAAATAGTGCATTTCACTTTCATCACTCTATTCCTAACTTCTGTCTAAGCCAGTTTAATTATCTTATGAATTATATTCATACAATCATGCCACCACTAGCAAAACGAAAAAAATATGAAGCGAGTTTTAAATTTGATGGGTTCTAGATAGACACTTTACAGGGTTGTTTTATTAATATTAATAATTTAATGGGAAATAAATAGTTTTTTTTTTATAATATCCTAAATGTTTTAAATGCATCTAGTGTGAAGTGTTTTTTATTTGAAAAATATATGTTGTACGTAATCCTAAATTGTGTTATTATTTAACTGTAAATTGATAATGAATTTTTAATGAGAAATGAATATTATGTTATCCTAAATATTATTACTGCCACAATTAACACTACCATGAGGATTATTGAATATTTAGGGAACGATAATGTTGGATGTGAACGGAATCATAACTCGATTTGTACATTTTCTCAGCTGAGCTTGTATTGATAAAAGTTGATTTCATTGATATACAATTATTCTTCAAATAGACAATTTCTTATGAAGTTATGCCAGTAATATATAAGGTAGAAATGATTTTATTACTTTTATTATCAGTTCATTTGATAATGTGAATCTTTCTGTGTACGTTATTGGTTATCGCATCACTGACAAACATCAGAATATAGAGTTTCTATTTTAGAATTATAGTATAAGACCACACCCAATTTTAAGGATCATTTTCGGGATTTAAAGGTCGTCTTATACACGGAAATATACGGTATATATATGATAGGATAAAGAACAAATAGGAAACATTTATAAATCTAACATGTTTCATCAAAACACATAAAACTACATCAGAAAATGAGATTGTGGAAAGAAAAAAATGTGGTACTTTTTTTTATGTTTATTTTGTTTTGATTATCATTGATTAATCAGGCTTCACGTGAATTTGAATTGTTAAGTAGAGTTAGTATAAGTTGCTATATATTGAGTTCCGAAGGTATATCTTATACACACGCTACTTAAGAAATCATTTGCACGTGGAGTCTGCGTAACCAATGAAAATCACACAACGCAAAAATAGATGAAAAAAATATATCAGAAATTATTTACTTATTTCTCCATAAGTTATTCCGCGATGAATCTTATCCAGAATCATATATATATATATATATATATATATATATGTATATATATATATAGAGAGAGAGAGAGAGAGAGAGAGAGAGAGATAGATAGATAGATAGATAGATAGATAGATAGATAGATAGATAGATAGATAGATTCGTTTCGAAAAACCCTCGGATTTTTGATTTGCTAATAATCAAATCAATCCCGAGGGGAAAAAAGGTTTTAAAAAAAGAAAGAGCTACAAGCATGAACTTCTGCCGACAAAAAAAAAATCGCACAGATGCAGGTTTGAAGCCCAAAGAAAAAACCCCGATACGAGTAAACAACTAACTAACAAAAGCGCTCAATACAACCGTAGATAGACCTAGATACACCCCTAGTGAGCCAGACAAACCTACCTAGGTTTCACCTAAACGGATCGTCAGGAAAGTAAGGCTTACTTTCCCTAACGATCTAGGTAGGTTTGTCTGACTCCTAGGTGTATCTATCTCTCTCTCTCTCTCTCTCTCTCTCTATATATATATATATATATATATATATATATATATATATATATATATAAGATTTGGATAAAGGACAAATAGGGGTTTTGTATATGAATCTAAACTGTTTCATTCTTGTTGAAGTTTCATCAGGGAATAACTTATGGAGATATAAGTAAATAATTTCTGATATATATATATATATATATATATATATATATATATATATAGAGTGTGTGCGTGGTTTGTGTGAGAATGCATGTTTGTGTAGGGTCTTAAATTGGATACTGCAGTAATTTGTACTTTTAAATTTTATTAAACTTTTGTTTTTATCTTGTAATTATCAATTTATACGGTCTCCATTTGACAAACGACTGTATGAATACATATACATGAACACACACATTCATATACATGCACACACACACATACACACACACACAGTCATATACATGCACACACACACACATTCATATACATGCACACACACATACACACACACATTCATATACATGCACACACACATACACACACACATTCATATACATGCACACAGACACATACACACACACATTCATATACATGCACACACACACACACACACATTCATATACATGCACACACACATACACACACACATTCATATACATGCACACACACATACACACACATTCATATACATGCACACACACACACACACATTCATATACATGCACACACACACACACACATCACATTCATATACATGCACACACACACATACACACACACATACACATTCATATACATGCACACACACACATACACACACACATTCATATACATGCACACACACATACACACACATACACACACACACACACACACACATATATATAAATATATATATATATATATATCTGTGTGTGTGTGTTTAGGTGTAATGTGTTCATTATTAAGTATTATCTCTACTCTAAAACTGATTTTAGGCTGTACACTTGTATTGGTAGGCATACCTGTTTATTTGCAATCTGCGAATTTAATGGAAGTGCACATCACAGTAGATTCTTCTTCTTCAATATGCTTCTTCGGGACGTTGGCAATCATGGCTCTAAACAACTTCCTCTTCATTTAACAAGCCTACCAATCATTTAGACTTATTAATGTTAATTTAATTCTAAATAAACAGGCATAACTTTTCAAGGATGTACTTAACCAAAAGATAGATAGAGGGATATCTGATGTAG